CAGGAGGTCACAGTTGGATTCCTAGTCAGGGCACATGCCCAGGTTGCAGGCTCCATTCCTAATAGGAGGCGTGGAGGAGGAAGCCAACCAATGATTCTCTCATCATTGATGTTTCTATCACTCTCTCCCTCTTCCTTCCTCTCTGAAATCAATAAAAAAAACAACAACATTTTTTTTTAAAGAAAGAAATACCAGGACACATCTGTGACCCCTTCGGTCCTAAGGGTAAGACATTGCTGGAGTCTTATAAGTACTGATCCCACAGCTCCCCTCCCACCTCACCTTGGCTGCCCCTCACCATGCCCAACAGGCTCCTGCCTCAGGGACTTTGAACTTGCCAGCCGTGGCCTAGAACACCCTTCCCCAGATAGCCTCATGGGTCATTTCCTCATGCCCCTCAGGCCTGTGCGCAAAGGGCACCTAATCAGAGAGGCCTTCCCTGCAAAGAGCACCTCTCTCTCCTGCTTGCCCACCACTCAGTATCCCCTTATGTGTGAACTGTGTTTTCCAAAGGTGCCACAGCAATTCTATTCCATGTTTTCTTTCTCCAGCTCCTAGAATCTTTAACCAACAGAAATGACACTGATCCAGGTCCAAACACAGCCCTTAGCTGCCCTGGCCGCCTCTGCTTCCTGCTTCTTGGAACACTTGCTCTTGGAGAGTTCCTTCCAGAGCCAAGCTGCCACGCTGAGAAGCCCAGGTCACGTGGAGAGACCCCAGGACGTGGACTGAACTCCCAGCTGGTGGCCAATATCAACAGTGGCTTCAGAAGGATGGGTCTCTTGTTGAAATCTGAAATTTCTTGAGTGAGAAATAAACCACTGGTATTTGAATGAGGCCAGGCACTGCTTGTTCAATATTTCAAGCCCCAAAAGATGAGATAATTATTAAAAGACGTTGAACTTGAATCAAATTCAGGTGCTACTTTGATCCTACAGTGACAACAGTTAAAAGCGAGAATAACAGAATATTTTTGGATGGTATCTAAGTTTCTGAAAAAGGAATAGTTCAGGCTGATGGAGACCTAAGAGTAGTCCAGTTACAGAAATAACAAGATGGCAGATCATTCTTAAGAACCTTTTAAAAATGCAATTAAAGTTCTCATTGAAGAAGAAAAAAGCACAG